TCTAGCCAGAGGGTCCCTTCTTGGGAGACTTTCTACTCTCTCCACCGTCTTCCAGTTGGTTCCTTCCCTGGCCAGAATGCAGTGCCTGTGTAGGGAGAGAGTTTTTCTCCACTAATCGGTTGCCTTCGTAGTACACTGCCTAGCACTATCTATCTGCTCTCCTGCACCGCCTGGTGGTTTCTTGGGGAAACACAAGGTTTAAAAAACACTTGTGACCCATGTGACTTCTTATTTCATTCATTCCTTTGTTCACTCATTCATTCATTCTTTCGTCCATCCATCGGATGATTTTGAGTACCTCTGTGCTTTAGGCGCTGTGTCAGATTCTAGGAGTAGAGCAATGAGCAAGACAGGGCACCTTCCCTCATAGAGCCTTTATTTTTTATAGAGGATACAGACAAGTAGCTTTTGGAATGAATACCACGTGAAAAGTGCATAATGGGGGAGCCCTGGTGGCACAGTGGTTAAGAGCCCAGCTGCTAATCAAAAGGTGTCGGCAGTTTGAATCCACCACCTGCTCCTTGGAAACCCTATAGGGCAGTTCTACTCTGACCTATAGGGTCACTATGAGTTAGAATCGAAATGAACTGACGTGATGGCAAAGGATTTTTTTTTTTTTTTAATTGTATTTCAGGTGAAGGTTTACAGAACAAACAGTTTCTCATTAAACAGTCAGTACACATCTTGTTTTATGACATTGGTTAACAACCCCACGACATGTCAATCCCCTCCCTTCTCGACCTTTTTTTTTTGGTGAAAATATACATAGCCAAAGGTACACCATCCATTTCAAAAATTTCTGCATGCACATTTCAGTGACATCGATTACGTTCTTCCAGTTGTGCTGCTGTTCCCACTTTAGATGAAAGTTTACAGAACAAAATAGTTTCTCATTAAACGTACACATGTTGCCCTAGGACAATGGTTAACAACCCCACTACATGTCAACACTGTCCTTACTCAACCTTGGGTTCCCTATCACCAGCTTTCCTGTCCCCTCCTGCCTTCTAGTCCTTGTCCCTGGACTGCTGTGCCTCATTAGTCCCGTTTTGTTATATGGGGCTGTCCAATCCCCGGCTGAACCTCGGAAGTGACTTCGCCACTGAGCTAGAAGGGGTCTGGGGGACATACTCTCGGGGTTTCTCCAGTCTCTTTCAGGCCAGTAAATCTGGTCTTTTTTTTGTGTGGTAGAATTTTGTTCTACATCCTTCTCTAGCTCTGTCCAGAACCCTCTGTTGTGATCCCAGTCAGAGCAGTCAGTGGTGGTAGCCGGGCACCATCTAGCTGTACTGGACTCAGTCTGGTGGAGGCCTTGGTAGCTGTGGTCCATTAGTCCTTTGGACTGATCTTTTCCTTGTGTCTTGTTCTCTTCATTCTCCCTTGCTCCTGAAGGGGTGAGACCAGTAGAGTATCTTAGATGGCTGCTTAGAGGCTTTTAAGACCCCAGACGCTACTCACCAAGGTAGAATGTAGAACATTGTCTTTATAAACTGTGTTATGCCAATTGAGCTAGATGTGCCCCGAGACCATGGTCCCCACAGCCCTCCACCCGGCAATTCAGTCCCTCAGGCAGTTTGGATGTGTCTAGGGAGCTTCCATGACCTTTCCTTGTACAAGCTGTGCTGGTTTCCCCTGTATTGTGTACTGTCTCACCCTTCACCAAAGATACCACTTATCTATTGCCTATTTAGTATTTCCCCCCAATCCCTCCCATCCCTCGTAACTAACAAAGATTGTTACTTTTTGTGTGAAAGCTTTTTCATGGGTTTTTACAATAGAGGTCTCATACAATATTTGTCCTTTTATGATTGACTTATTTCACTCAGCATAATGTCCTCCAGTTTCATCCATGTTATGAGATGCTTCACAGATTCATCATTGTTCTTTCTTGTTGCATAGTACTCCGTTATGTGTATGTACCATAGTTTGTTTATCCATTCATCTGTTGATGGGCATCTAGGTTGTTTCCATCTTTTTGCTATTGTGAACAATGCTGCCATGAACATGGGTGTGCATATGTCTATTCGAGTGACAACTCTTCTTTCTCTAGGATATATTCCTAGGAGTGGTATTTCTATTTCTAGCCTTCTAAGGAAGCGCCATATCATTTTCCAAAATGGTTGTATCATTTTGCATTCCCACCAGCAGTGCATAAGAGTTCCGATCTCCCCACAGCCCCTCCAACATTTGTCATTTCCAGTGTTTTTGATTAGTGCCAGTAATGACGGCAACGGATTTTTTTTTTTAAAGGCTGTACAGGAGCACATAGGAGGGACCTCTAATTCATACTTGGAGAATCCAGGAGCGAGTGAGAGAGGGCAGACTCAGAGTTCTAGACAGAGGTGGGTCTGTGCAAAGGTCAGTCCACAAGACAGAGCATGATGGACAGAGAAGATGGTATTGGCTGGAGCACAGAAGCAGGAGGAGGGTGGTGAGAGGAGAGATTGCAGAGGAGCCACGTTGTGCAGGCCTCTGAGCCATGTCAAGGACTTTGGCTTTAACTTACAGCCAGCAGTGAGCTATTTAGAGTTTGATTAGGGATGTGGTATAATCACATTTGCACTTTAGCATTAATTACTCTGGTCGTGATTGGAGAATGAATCAGAGGGGGCAAGAATTGAGTTGGGGAGACTACTTAGGAAGCTGTTGTAGGAACAATGGCATGAAATGATGGTGGTCAAAACCACGAGGTGGCAGTGGGAATGAAGGCAAGTGGATACCATCTAGAAATGTATATGGGGTTGGGTACTGGTGTTGGGCCCAGCTTCCAGGAAATAAAATGCTGACATCTGAGTCAGAATCCTTCAGCTTGCCCCACATCCTGGCACAGGAGAGGTACCTCATCTTACTGGAGTGACCGGTGACCTTCTTTTGCTGCAGATCTTCAGAAGGACCCCTTGCCCTCCCAAGAGCAAGCCCTGGAGAACTCAGTCAGTGCCTCCCCCCCGCCTCAGGGTCCCTGGGATCAGTGGGAGATGGTGGGGGTGTTAAGTTGAGAGTAGGCTTCACATTGCTGCTGGAATGGAACAATGGAATAGGTAGCTATCGGCCCAGAAAAGCTGGAGGAATCTGGGACAACCACCTCTTACTTCCTCTTTGACTTGGTCCCATGGCAGAACAACAGTCTTAAAGTTCGGTATTTGAGTCTCAGCTATAGGTCGTTCTTAATGTTTTCTCTCAGAAGGAGGGAAGAAAGGTTTGTCTCTTAAGGATCCATTCCAGGCTCCTTGGACAGCCATTTTTAACCCTTAACCCTATGTCGTAGTCATCTAGTGCTGCTGTAACAGAAATACCCTAAGTGGATGGCTTTAACAAAGAGAAATTTATTCTCTCACAGTCTAGTAGGCTACAAGTCCAAATTCAGGGTGCCAGCTCCAGCGGAAGGCTTTCTCTTTCTGTCACCTCTGGAGGAAGGTCCTTGTCATCAATCTTCCCCTGGTCAAGGAGCTTCTCAGGCGCAGGGATCCTGGGTCCAAAGGACGCGCACTCTGCTCCCGGCACTGCTTTCTTGGTGGTATGAGGTCCCCAACTCTCTGCTTGCTTCCCTTTCCTTTTATCTCTTGTAAGATAAAAGATAGTGCAGGCCACACCCCAGGGAAACTCCCTTTACATTGGATCAGGGATGTGATCTGAGCAAGGGTGTTACATCCCACCCTAATCCTTTTTAACCACAGGCAGAGATTATGATTTATAACACGTAGGAAAATCACAAAATGGAGGACAACCCCACAATACTGGGAATCATGGCCTAACCAAGTTGACACATATTTTGGGGGGGACACAATTCAATCCATGACACCCTGTAAGCCCTGGAGTAGTCTCTCATGCTTGATGATGTAGACACTGAGCTGTCATAAATGTTGACCCAACCTGGACCGCCATCTCAGCACTGCCATTATCTCTAAAGGGACAGTACCAGGGACCACACCTTAAGCCCCACAAAATATTTGCAGAAATCATTCCTCAGAAAGGAAACAAAAATGTCTTTTGGATAACCAAGTTACCACCTATCTAACCCATAATCCGCAGAGCTGCCACCTTCTCCCTGTTCCCCTCCCCCTGATATCATAAGACATCAGCGTGATCTTGTCTCTAGGCCCCTAACCCGGACACAGTCAGCCCAGGCACACTCAGAACAAACGGCTCAGGGAGGCTATGAAATTGGTGTGTTTCTTACCAGCTCAGTGCATGACATCTGGATGCTGAGCCAGTGAGCCAGGGTTTGTTTTCATGGCTGTCTCAGTTTGCTAGTGCTGCTGTAACACAAATACCACCATGGGTGCTTTAAAAAACAGGTATCTATTTTCTCACAGTTCTAGAGGTCAACAGTCCAAATCAGGGTATTGACCTTGCTGATTTTTCCTTGTTGGTAGCCCCAGGCTTTCCTTGATTCTTGGCTGTCCTCACATGGCATCTGGCTTCCCCACCATGTACTTGTCGCTGTGTCTTATCTGTTTTTTTTATAACTCAGATTGATTGGGTTTAGGGCACACCTGATACTGATACGGACCTATTACCGTAACATTAGATTGCACTGTGGAAAGCGATTATATTACATTACATTACATGCACAGCTATAGGGGTTAGGGTTCCAACACATACTTCAGTCCCCAATAATGACTGTTTTGTGCAGAACTACTCTTCCTTCTAGAACAGTGGTTCTCAACTGGGGGTGGTTGTGCCCTCCAGAGGACAAAAGGCAATGAAGAAGAGTAAGTTGACAATGTCTGGAGACGTTTTTTATTGTCTCAACTGCGGGAGAGGTGGCTTTGCTGGCATCTAGTGGGTAGAGGCCAGGCGTGTTGCCAGCCATCCTACAATGCCCAGGACAGCCCTCATATAAAGAATAGTTCAGTCCCAAATGCCAGTAGTTCCTCTCTTGAGAAACCCTGTTCTAGAGCATCTGTCAAGGGGATCCTTGAGTCCTCCCAGGCCCTGTAAGATTCCTAGAGCAAAACACAAGTTCGGGAAAAACTTACTTGTTGTGCTTCTTTCCACAGCTGAGCTCAGTCCAGAAGGCCCAGTTAGAGCGGCTGGAGGTGGCCAGACCCCGAGAGCTGGGGAGCAGGGAGCCAGGCCTGATGCTGAGGATGGCCAGGCAGCAGCTGCCGCCGTGGGTCCATGCAGCGTTCCTCCTCTGGCTTCTCAGCCTCGGCGGAGCCATCGAGATTCCTATGGATCGTGAGTCCTGCTCTGTCTTTTCTCTTTTTCTACCAAATCTTGGGCAGGGAAGTTGGAGAGTAGAGAAATCAGGGGAGAGTTAAGACCATCTGAAGAAGGCTGGGGAGAGGACTAGCAGTGGATTCTGGGATTCAGAGCTGCATTTCTCTCCAGAGAACTGACTCGGGCTCATGTCTGGAACTAAGGCTGTAAGTCACAGTGCTCTCTCTCTCTCTCAGGGCTATGGCTGAGCCGATGTGTGGGCCAGCTGATGGGGCATCTGAGCAGGACCAGGGGGTGGCAGAGTCTGGAATTCTGAATGTCACTCTGGAGTTCTTCCCACCACTCACCTCCCACAGCCCTCTCTTGTCTTGACTGTCCCATAAGCACAGAGTTTCTGGGGATCAAGTGTGGTAGAATGTTCTTCTCTAATATCTGACAGGTCCAGAGCTGGATACTTCAGGCCTTGTTGACTGAAGTGATCAGGAGGATGGATGGTCTGGGAAGGGAATCATCTTTACAGAAGGCTGACTAAGTGAGACACTAAAATAGAGCTCCATTATAAGGCCCCTGTTGGAGAATCAGACACTAATTTCTTCTGTTGGTCAACTTTGCCATGGGGAAAGTAAAATCCATGTCATTCTGTTTCCCATGGTGGGGGCATTATTTGACCATCAGAATGAAAAGGTAAGGGGCTTAAAATGCGGAACTAACAGCCACATCTCCACCAGCTATGTCTGTTGCTGCATTCCTAATGGCCCATTGGTTGGCAGCCACGCTCCTTGGCTCTGCCTCTAGGGGAGGCCTCCTGGCCACAGTTCTGACCCTTCTGCCAGGATGTCTTAGCATCCCAGTGCCATGATGTGGGCACACCACCTCTGACCCTGTCCCCTGCTTCAAGGAGCAGAGGGAATCCGTGTGATGCCAATATTAACTTGGACTCTCTCCAGCTGACAAATGTGTGGGGAGGGGATGGGAAAGTAATACAACCTTCAAGAAGATCCCACTGAGCTGTTCAAAATCAGGCCTTTGGTCCTGGAGTTGGCGTAGTTTAGAGAAGAGTTGCCAGGCATCTCAGCCTCCCCCCACCCCACTTCACCAGTAACAGCTGCCCCAGAGGAGTGGGCCCTTCAGAGGAGAGAAGGCCAGTGATAACTGTACGCTGGACCCAGAAGCTAGATGGGCAGGCAAGGCCCCTGCTGCCCTCCTGAGAACCCCAAGTGTGTGCGTGTGTGTGTGTGTGTGTGTGTGTGTGTGTGTGTGTGTATGCATGTGCACGCGTGTGTATGTGCATGCACACAGACAGAAAGGAGGAGAGGAGAGTTGTGGAAAAAACTGTTCCCATGGAGACCGTCTGCACTGCTGGCTCAAGGAGAGTTTCTCATTAACAGTCCCAGGCAGACAATCTAATAAGGAGCATGAGAAGGCCCTGTCCCTGGAGAGGAGAGGGGGTGCAGAGGAAATTGGGTTATCAGGAAAGTGGTGAAGGCTCAGTTCGCTATGGCAGCTTCTCCTCACTCACCTGCCATTTTGATCCCAGGGGCCAGGGAATACAGGGGTTCCGGCAAAGTGAACCCATAAATAGATGAATTCAAGCCATCAATCTCTCCACAGTACCACCTTTGAGGCAGAGGGCTGGGGGTGCCCTCCCCACCACCATTTCCTCCGTCTCAGTGTCCGGGAGAAGGGTCTGGGAGGGTCCCTCTTCCCATGTCGTGTTCACAGAAACTCAAGCCATTGCTTGCTCAGGGTCACACAGATAATAGATGATAAGTCAGGAAAAGAACCCAGGTCTCTTGACCACCCCTCCAATCTGATACCTGATTTGCCCCACCCTGCCTCTGGCATCTCTGCCTCCTTTTAGTCTTTGTTCTTTTTGGAATTCACTGGAATAATAACAGTAATAGTAATAGCAGCTACCACGTGCCAGGTAGAGAGCTAAGTACTTTACATATATAGCTCATGCGATTCTCGTAGCTAGTCCCCAAGGTAGGTATTATCCTTAGCTTGCAGGTTAGAAAACTGAGGTGCAAGGAGACAAAGCTGAGTTCTCCAGCTCAGCAGCTGGTAAGTGGCAGAGCCAGGATGTGACCATAGCGCCTCTCTGAATGAAGAGGTGAGTGCATCTGGGTCACCATTCCAGGTGCTGACCAGGTGACCCAGGCTGTGTCAATGCAGGAGATGCCTGCTGCCAGGGGCATGCCCCATACATATTGTACCTCTCTGGTTGCTGCAAGCCCGGTGGCCATTATGGCATCTCCAAAGTGAGTCTACAAAAGCTGAGCTAAGACTACAGGAAGGCGAGCCCTTCAGGGAGGGCCCGGTCGCCTGGGAAGAGGGTCTCTTCCACCAGTTTCCTCCCTCTTGCTGAGCCAGCACGACAGATGCCATCCCATATTACCCATCCTCAGTCTCACCCTGGGCTGAGGCCCAGTGGAGTGGGCTGGGAACAAACGGGTGGCATTCTTAGCTCTCCCAGTCTGTCGGCTGGGAGGGGCTGAGGGGGCTGGGGCCAGAGGCTGTCCTGCCAGGTGTGGCCTTTGGCTCGTTTGTCCCTTTGGGGAGCATTCACTGTGCCTGGAGGGCGGACATGTCTTTGGCCCTGGTTCGCCGTGGATGCAGAGTTTGGGCTCCCCAGGCCCCTGGAACAGAGCCCTGGGCTGCTACACAATCCAGCATTGAATCTTCCAGTCTCCAGCTTCCCTTGCTTTGCCAATGGAGTCACACGCACCCCCTCCCGCCCGCCACTTCCCTCCCTCACCAACGCCAAGGAGAACAGCATGATCTTTGAAAAAAGCACAGGGTCGCCTCATCAACCAGCGTGAGTTTGCCAAAAAGGGAGTCGGCTCCCCAGATCAAGGGGACCCAGCATTTTTCTCCTAGGAACCCACAGAGGAGGGCAGTGGGTGGGAGAGACACTTTCTCCCCATCTTCATCCTAAACAGGGCTGCAGGATGGCCTTGACGACACACACACACAATCACTCACACTCTGTCCTCCGAGGATGGGAGCCAGAGGTCATCATGATCAGAGCCAGGGGAAGAAAGGAGGCGCATGAACAGAGAAGCCCTGCAGACTGGGCGGCATCAGACCTCACCCCCTGCCGAGCCCTGTTGGAGAGTTTTTCCTCTCCCTTGGAAGCCGCCAGAGCGATTCATTCTCCACTTGACATCGTTATAAAGCAAGTTCCATGGAAGGAGAGAAGGGCAGGTGGTGTGACATGGGGGTCACAGGGCTGGAGGGGAGCTTGGTCCTCCTTGTCCCGAGACAGGCTGTCCCCACTGACTTCTCCCTGTGGCAGCTTGTCTTCTGGGTTTATTCTGTCCTTGTAATAAATTCCTTGGTAACACTGTGGTACCTGCACATGCCATGACCCCTTTAGGCAAGTAGGTTCTCAAAAGGCCCCTGGGTGACTGTTCAGTGTGGGGCTGTGATCAGCACCAGCCAGCTGTTGCTGCCCTGAGGGTCTCCACTCCCCAAGGCCTCCCCTCTTACTCACCTTTGTCCAAAGCGTCAGGGAGAAAGCAGAGTGCTAAGGCACCACTTGGCTAACACACCTCTCTGGCCAAGGATGGGTTTGTAAAATAAAGCTGTGGACTAGGAATTGGGAGAGCTGGTTGTCACTCCAGTTCTGCAGCAAACTTCCTCTGGGTTCCTAACTAAGTGATTCCCCTCCCCTGGACTTCAGTTCCCCCTGGGCAGTGTCTTCAGGCTCTTTCAGTGGAACCAACCAGAGAGGCTTGAAGCCCATGTGGGCAGAGTAAATTTTTTGTCAAGCTTCCCAACCAGATGAGGCCAAAGCCCTCAACTACATGTCAGGATCCAACAGATGCCAACTGTTGCTTGGAATGAAGACACCAGGGGCCTGGGCTGGTTGTCAGATGGCCTGGGTTCAGGTGTCAGCCTGCTTCTCCTGAGAATGGCCTTCCTCCCCAGCTCCCCATCCCATGCCCATCCCCACTGGCTTTCAGCCTTCCCAGAGTTACCCTTTCTGGGCAGGACAGTTATAGACAGGTGAAGATGCTGTAGTAGGGACCCCCACGGAGCATGTGTTCAGAAACCTTCGAGTTTTTGCTTTTCATGTCTTATTGTTACCTGCCCAGGGAGCCTTGGGCAAATGGTAGAGACAATTTCTCTTCATTGCCCCAGCAGGCCATGCAACCCTGGCCCACCTGGAAGCATTATTTTGACCCCCTCCATGCATCTCCCTCACAAGAGTTTAATTCACTGATAGTGTGACTAGTAGGACACTCATTCCCTGCCACGCCTCATCTCCTTTCTCTGAGGTCTCTCTTCCCCTCCTCTGTGACTCTTCCTGCACCTTTCGGCTTCTGTCTAAACTCTGGCTCACCAGGCTGCCCTGGAGCCCCTAAACTCCTCTTGACATTTCACAGTAGTCAGGTCTGAAGGCTTCAAAGTCGCCATGGCTCCGCCCTGATGCCAGCAGCCTTCTGCTTCCCCCAGGAATAACTCACTCTGAAAAAGTCAGCCAACCAACATCAGCACAATATCTGCCATCCATGCCAGCATGAAATAAGAATGTCATGCTACTTTCTGATATAATCAGAAGGAAAAGACATTTTAAAAAGTCACAGCAACACATGCTGTCTCCCTGCAGACAGATATTATAACCAAGACCTTCTCCCCACAAAGAACATACACCACGTAACCAAGTGCCATCGAGTGATTCTGAATCATGGCAATACCATGTGTGTCTGAGAACTGTGCTCCATAGGGTTTTCAATGGCTGACTTTTTGGAAGGAGATCTCCAGACCTTTCTTCCGAGGTACTTCTGGGTGAACTTGAACCTCCAACCTTTAGGTTAGCAGCCAAGTGTGTTAACCATATCACCAGCGAGGAATTCCAACATACCATTAGAACCTTGCTATTCAACACGTGGGCCACAGGCCAGCAGCATCAGCATGGTTGCTTGTCAGAAATGCAGAATCTCAAACCCCACCCCCAGACCTACTGCATCAGAAGCTGCAGTTTAACCAGACCCCCAGGTGAGTCATATGCATGTCAAAGTTTGAGAGGCACTGGCCTAAACCATGCAGACACCTGCACAGGTGCACATGCACATTCCAGGTAAGGGCCGGGGAAGATTTGTGCCACCTGCCTCTTTAGGCCCTTTGTAAAAAGCATAGAAAGGAGCCATAGGCTCTGCTTCATCTCCAGGGTCTCTTGTTCAAGAGCAGGGTTTCTGTAGGGTGATGTGCTTCACCCATGAACAGAGCAACAATGATTCATCTGTCCCTAGAGTTTTCCAAGGATGGGAAAGGAGAAGACGGCAGAGAAAGAATCTGCTTTCCTGTGTGAAAGGAAGAAGCTGTAGTGGGAGAGAAATGAGGCCTTTGGACCCTGCTGGGCCCTTGGGGCTCTCAAACCTTGGAGGCTTGCCCTGTAGCACTGGTTCAGATCCGCCCCTTCCCGGCACCTTGGTCCTGCCCTCAGCCTCACGCTCCCACCACTGGCCATGAGCCCATTTTCCTCAGTGGTATCCATAGATCACAGGCAGCGTCTCCAGAGCCTAGCCTCTTTGAAGCAGCAGTGTCACCTTTGACATGTGGACCTCCTGGTGACATCTTCATTTGGTCAGTAGCTGGCCTTTCTGCTCAACTGCATGGTTTCAGTCTCCCAAGGGAGGCATCAGCTTTGTTGTGAAGTCCTTGCTGGGTCTGTTGCATCTCCCAACTCTGCTCTTCCACTGAGCTGTGCAGTGGGGAGGAGAAAGCCCACACACAGAGCCCTCCCCAAGCTCACCTCACCCCTCTCCCTGCATGCTGGGGTGTGAGGACACCTGGGTGATAAGTCACCTGCGATAACCGATGTTCTTCTTCTCTCCTTTACAATGCTAACCCATCGGAACTAACAGCAAGCATTCAGAATGAGCGTAAGTCCCCCACTCACCTCTCTGCGCTTGTGCCTCTGGGGAGTGGGAGGTCAGGAAGAAGGAGGGATGCGGAGAAGGTAGGTGAGGAGATACCTGGGGACTGGTGGCCTCTCCACCCTGCTAGCTGTAGCTTCTTCTGGGGCTTCTTGACTCCAGAGCCCTGCACTCTGCCCCTTTACCACATGGGCAGGAAACAGGCTTACACAGACCTTCCCGTTGGTGGGGAAGGTGGAGGAGCAGGTGGTAAGAAGAGGGTCTTTGGATAGAGGCTGAGGTGTGCCATATTTGCCTCTGCTCTCCCATCCTCTGGTGGCTGAGGGACCATGGTGTGGAACATTTGAGGACCTAGAGTGAGAGGATCTGGCTCTTTGACATGCAGGCAAGTCCCTACAAACTTCCCTAGGTATTAAAGCCTCTGTCAGCTCTCCTCATTCCAGCGTGGCAGTCTCTTGAGCCTCCAGGGCTCAGAACCATCACGACCCCTAAGTTCTGGGATTCTAGCTGTTTTTTGTTCCTGTATTCATTGAGCAAATGTTTATCAAGAACTATTGTGCACTAGGCATCGCAATACAAGAATGGGTGAAACAAAAGCCTGGCCTTAAATATCTCATGGCTGTACTATGGAATCTCCTTAAAGGGGCTCTTCCATGCTTAACCTTTGACACCCCACCCCTTTCCTGCGGCCCCATTTAAGGAGCTGAGTGTCTAGGATGGGGCCCTGAGCCCTGTCCACTCCCTGCTTACCTCCTTGTACATGTGGTTCCTGAAGCTCTTGATGTCAGCCATTCCCCAAGCGAGGAACCTCGGCGGGTCCCTGCAGCCCTGACACCTCCCGTGTGCACTATTGCAGTGTCCCAGCCCCCGACCATCACCAAGCAGTCAGTGAAGGACCATATCGTGGACCCCCGGGATAACATCTTGATTGAGTGTGAAGCAAAAGGGAACCCTGCCCCCAGGTAAGTGTGCTGGTGGGGAGATGCCAGCTGGGTGGAGGGAAGGGGGCCTTACAGGACGATGTTGAAACCACCCCCTTGCCTCTGGGCCTGATGACACTTAAGGCAAACCTGGCAGCTGAGAAATCAGATTTATCCATTCAAAAAAATATCCATTGAGTATCCACTCAGTGGAAGGAACAGTTTACACAGACAAGAAATTGATCCGATTGCAGGGCAGAGGAGGCTACAGAATGTTTAAGTGGCTTATCTAGGTTCGCTGGGAAAAGGCAGGACTGGATTTTCAGTATTTTCGGTTTTCTGACTTTCGGCATAGCATTCTTTCCACTGCTGTACGTTTCATTCATCCACCTCAATGTTTAGCTTACAGGAAGTTCCTCTTCCTAGCTACCTTGAGTCTTTCATTCTTAGCTTGCCTCTGCTTGTTTCACACTCACCAGAATCAGTGAAATTTCAGCAGGTGTGAGCTAAGCCTGCTGGGCGCCAGATGTGGCAGATGTTGTCACACTGTCACGTTCGGCTGCCTAACTGCTATGGGGGAAATGCCGCTGTCTCCTGAGGTGTGAATGAACCAGAGGCAAAGATTTTACCCTTCCCAGGGTCACACAGCTGGAACAGGCAGAGCCAGGATTTAAAGCCAGGCCTTCTGAGCCCCAAATCTAAACATAAGCATTAGAGACGGGGCAGGTATTAAGTTCTCCATCTCCTCTGCTCAAAGTAGCACCACAGGCTGGACCTTTGAGGAGCCTCATTGCAGAGTCACACCCCAACCCTACAGGCCCCTGCTAGGGTCTGTCCGTCAGCAGGAAAAACGAGATGGCGTGGAACTTTCTTCTGGCCACTGGGTTTGCATGAGCCAGTCTGGCCCAGAGCTGTGAGCCCAGGAAGAAGTGGGGACCCCCTCACCCAAGATGGGAGAAGCAGGTCACCCCGAATGGTCGGTCAGGCCATCAATGACCTTGCTTCTGGGACGTGGTGTTTTCCCCGTGGCTCCTTTGCAGGGACAGTGACTTGAACACTGAGCCACTGCTGCTCCTGTTTCTCTGGCTGCTTTCAGCTTGTGGGGGGAGCAGCTGAGAGCATGAGGCCCTGGTTGTAGCAGACACAGCCCGTCCACCCACCCAGGAAAAGGACAAGGACGTTCAGTGCTCTCTGCCCCAGGGCTCAGCTGTATCAAGGCCACCGCTGCTTTAAAGGCTCCCCCTCCTGGTTTGCTCTGTGTGGCCACTGCTTTATAATCTGCCCTCGCTGTGCAGGAGCACAGATCATCCAAACCATTTCAGCCTGGCTTCAGAGCAGATTATAAAATTAGGGAGGTCGGAGGAACAGAACTAGCTCCCTAATAGGTTTGGCTTGGATGAAATACCAGCTTGAGTTTGCATTCCTAGTAGCGGATTGGGAATGTCCTAGGTTAGAAGGAGCAGCTGATTCTAGATTTTTTTTTTCATATAAAATAACTTTTATTTACATAATTTATGTCTGTATAACAAGAAAATTTACAAATGACAGATACTGCTTTATTGTCAAGACTTCTTCAAGCAAGATATTATACATGGTCACTCCTATTTGACATAACATGGTGGCAAACACTGAATATTAATATTTTATCTGTGCCTCAATCATTTACCAACAATCAGGCTTTTAAACCATCATGTTGATCACTTGATAAGATGTTAAATATTCAGGAGGAAAAGTCAGGAAAAGAGAAAGACCTTTATTTATATCTCCTTCAAGATTTATTAAATACAAATTCTCTGCAACATCTTTATATGAATCAGACTTAACACAAGTGTGAACAGTCTTTCCACCTTGTAAGGTAAATACATTAAGTTTCTCTTTTTGCAAGATTAGCTTTAAGGATATAACAGCAGGATAATTTAGCTGGCTGGCTTAATTCCCTAACACAATGCCCAAAGATAAAGTCATTCTTTATACAGTAGGAAATTCTATTTTCCACAGAAATTACTGAAGATGAACAAGTAACAGATATTAACAAAGTTAAAAAATAAATAAATATTATGCAGGGAATAAAACAATAGTTTAATTGTGGCGATCTAATATTCAAACTAACACTAAGAGAAAGAAACTTTTTCAGAATGAGATTTTCTTTTTTAATTACAGAAGCAGAGTATTAAAATAGCAGTATGACTTACTACTACGTGAGTCTAGATTTTAACAAATCAATATCACTGCTTACTCTTCCGAAGAACATAATTGGCAGTGGCTACTTGAGTGTGTACCGTTTAGAGCCACAATTTTCAGCCTTGCCTGGGTAGAAATACAAATGCCAGGGACCTGCCTCTGGAGATTCCCCTGGGTGGGACCTGGGAATCTGTGTTTTATCAAGCTCCCTGGATGGTCCTGATGCTCCGCGAGGGCTGGGACCCATTGGTGTGGCGGTGTGGCCACTGGCTTGAGAGTGGAAAGTTTGTCACAAGGCACTGAGTCCGGGCCTAGGGAGCTGAGATTCTCATCAGGAGCCTGGACCCACTCGGTTCCTCTTACTGCCCCCACCCCGCGTTGTCCACAGCTTCCACTGGACACGCAACAGCAGGTTCTTTAACATCGCCAAGGACCCCCGGGTGTCGATGAGGAGGCGGTCTGGGACCCTGGTGATTGACTTCCGCAGCGGTGGGCGACCAGAGGAATATGAGGGGGAGTACCAATGCTTTGCCCGCAACAAATTTGGCACGGCCCTGTCTAATAGGATCCGCCTGCAGGTGTCCAGTGAGTAGCGTGGGGGCAGGGCCAAAATGCCCTGCTCCTGGGTAGATGTGGGGTCGTGGAGTCGAGGATCTTTCCAGACGGGCTGCCCCTACCCTTGGCCTGTAGGTGCCTTGGTGCCCTGCCTTTCCTGCTTGTCCCTCCGTCTCTGAGCAGGGGTGCGACTCCCCCAGTTCAGAAAGATTCCCTGGAAAGAAAGTTTCCAAACCAGAGTTTCCAAAGAAAGAGTTTCCAAGAAAGTTTCCAAACCAAACTTCACCAGGCATAGGAGGAGGGGAAAGAGAGGACCCTTGGAAGATGTGCATCCTTTTAAACATAAGACCTCCCTCTCCCACCTCTCAAGGGCCACCTCTCGCTCAGGCCTATGGAACCCGTCCTTCTCTCTCGCTCTCCCTCATTCTCTTTTTCCCCTCCTTGTGTGCCTGCCTTTAACCCTACCACTTGCCCCTGGTCCCAGCCATCACCCTCATTTTATTCTCCTCCGATCATTTCTCCCCAGAATCTCCCCTGTGGCCCAAGGAAAACCTAGACCCTGTTGTGGTTCAAGAAGGCGCCCCCTTGACGCTGCAGTGCAACCCTCCACCTGGACTTCCATCCCCCGTCATCTTCTGGATGAGCAGCTGTAAGTCTTGGGGGCCTGGCTGATGTGTTTTATTTATATTTTATTCCTAGGGAGAGGAGTGGGGTGTGTTACACGGGGAAGGGCTGCCCAAGGCAAGAAAACTTTATCTTGTGAGATGCAGATGCAAGGTGGTCTCCTGCACAAGGACACAGGCTCTGCAGAGAGGCTGCCCAGGCTGCTTTCCTAGCCCAGCTGCAATTAGCTGTGTGATCTTGAGTAAGTTGCTTAACATCTCTGAGCCTGAGTTTCCTCTTCTGAAAAAAAAAGAGGCTAATAATTATACTATCTAAGAAGACTGAGTCCCTGGGTGGTGCACGTAGTTAACATGCTTGGCTGCTAACCGGAAGGTTGAAAGTTCGAGGCCATCCAGAGGCACCTCGGAAGAAAGGCCCTGGCGATCTTCTTCTGAAAAACCAAACCTTGAAAACCCCATGGAGTGCAGTTCTTCTCTGACATTCTTGGGGTCACCATGAGTCGGAATCGACTTTATGGCAACTGGTTTGGTTTTTTTGGTTTAAGAGGATTATTGTAAGGAGAAATGAGTTAATACGTCTGAAGTATTTAGAACAGGCCAGTAGTATTTGTGCTCAGCAGTATTTGTGATGATGAAGATGAGGAAAAGGAATGAGGAGGAAGAGAAGAACCGTGTCTTTCAATCCTTGGTCAGCCTGGATTTCCTCACATTGGCTCTCCTTGTAGGACAGAAGGTGAATGGGAGGATGAAACCTTTGATAAGGAGTGACTGCGGATAAGCCGTTTGGAGCAAGGGCGCAGATCACCATCATTCTAGGAGCTTGTCCTGACTCAGTGTGGGACTAAGAGGCTCGTTTAACCCTCTGCACCTCAGTTCCTTCCCATGTTTTCAACTTTTAAAAAATGAAGCATTATGAAAACAAATGAAGGATTACTGTCTATCTGTGTATCTTCCTGACTGTCCTTCCCCCCCACCATTCCTCCCTTCCTCATCTGTCTATCCACCTATCTACCTGTGCATATCTGCCTGTTGTCCATCATTCTGCCGATCCCCGAATTCTTACCAGTCTGCTTCAAAAAAAGGCTACCTTGCCAACGAGGCAGCACTGTGAGTGGTTTTCCAGGGTGAGGATGGCTTTGTGCGCAGTCATTGTCACCGTTGCCCCTCGTCATGGTGGCGCAGGTATGTGAGGAAGGCTGTCCGCTCACAGGCTGGAGGGTGACTCTCCTCTTTCCCATTGCCACATCACACTGATCACCAAGTTGTGTCCATGCTTCCTCCTAAGCAGATCTCATCACCCTAGGCCTCTTTCCATCCTTCCTGGCATCCCCCCAAGCCCAGGCCACCATCCACTTTTCCCTGGGTGACAATTATCCATAACTTGCCTTCCTGGTCTTTCTAAAAGCGTGAGTTCAGTCATTTCATTCATGTGCCTAAAACCCTTTGCTGGCTCCCCCACCACCCTGGAAAAGTCCAGGCTCCCTACCCTGCAGACAGTCCCCTCAGTGGCCTGGTCCTCTCTGCCTCTCCAAGCTTTTTCCCTTTTCCCCGTACCCCTGAATAGGCTCTGCACTCTCACCCTTTAGCGCACGCTGCTCCTGCTACTTAGAAGCCTCTTAGCGCCTTGGTCTTTCTGCCCGGTAAAAGCCATGCAGCCTTCAAGTCTCAGCCCAAGACCCCCTAGAATGGACCAGGTGCTCCTTTCCAGTAGTTATTCCCCTTCTTACCCAACGCGTTCCACTCACCACACTGCATTGCAGTTACGGATTTATCTGCCATCTCCTCTACAAGGCTGTAGGCGCTTTAAAGGAAGGAATTGTCTTCGTTGTTCATCTCTCTTTCCCTAGTACCTAGCACAGGGCCCAGCATATAGTAAGCCCATGAAAATCTTTGATAAACAATTTGCAGAACTGACCAGTCCATCGTTGGACTCACTGGCGTCATTAACCCTGTACTTTAAGCAATGGTGACTTAAAAAACCACACACAGAAGTGGAGGATAGAAACGGGATAGCTACGAGTCGTCAGCCCCGTAAGTCTGTTTTTACAAACCTGACAGCCTGGAAACCTGGTCTTCTGAGTTTTTATCAGATGCAGTGCTTGAAAAAATACAGATAATGTAGTCAGCATTCTGAGCTACTTCTATGATGTCATTAATTCTAAGATGTATGTTTTTTCACATTTTAACATCTCTGAAATTAGAAAGCATCTTAAAATTGGTGTGCATCATTGATGAGTATGCATCTTATAATTGGCAGTATATTTTTTTCTTTCTTGAGATTACAAAAAAAAAACCCAAAGGTGCATTTTATAATTGATAGTGTCTTAGATTTTGATGAAATGCAGCAAGACCAAGTTCAGTTGCATTTAATTCAGCCAACTACTGAGTGCTTACTACACGTGAAGTCCTAAGCTGGCTGCTGGCCCATGCAGATGACAGGGTCACGGTCCCTGCCCTCAGAGAGCTCACTCTGCTAGCATGAGAATTTGAACTCTTGATTTGGGGAGCATCCAAGAGATTGCAGTCCCTCCCTCTGTCCTCGGGGTCGGTCAGATCTTCTGTGGTGTGAACAGGAGATAGAAAAGTGTGGTGACAGAGCCTGGGCTTGGTGGGCAGGCTTGAATCTACATCCTGCTCTCCCCTCACTGCCTTTGCACCCCAGGACACGTTAAATCCTCTGCCTCTTGAGCTGTAAAGTGAGAATAAGCCTTGTATGGTGCAAACAGTAACAAGTTTAGATGACAGCTGCAAGGCTGGCAGTTCAAGTTCACCCAGAGGCACCTTGGAAGAAAGGCCGGTGATCTACTTTGGAAAAATCAGACACTGAAAACCCTGTGGAGAAATTTAGGGGCAGTGAGTTTGTGTTGATGATGGTGGAACAATTCAGAAAAGGATTTGAGAAAGGCGGCACAACTCGAGGACTGTAACCAACGTCTCTGAACCGTACGTATAGAAATTGTTGAACTGATGTGTGTTTTGCTGGGCGTATCTTCAGTAAAAAAATTTTTTAAAAAAAGAAAAGAAAATCCTATGGTGTTAGGAGCTGGTTGAATGGACATGAGGAATCAGGGGTGGAAAGGAGGAGTGGGCTGTCACAGTATGGGGAGAGCAATTAGGGTCACATAACAATGTATGTATAAATTTTTGTATGGGAGACTAACTGGAAATGTAAACTTCATTTAAACTACAACAATAAACAAAAAAGAAAACCCTATGGAGCACAGTTCTACTCTGACACGCATGAGGTCGCCGTGAGTCGGAATCAACTCAACGCCAACTAGTATATATCAGAGTTGAGAGGACTGGACAAAATAATGTCAAGCTCCTGGCCCCCACCCGACCCTCTGTAAGGGCGCAATCACCTGAGCTGTCGTGATGATGATTGTTACTCCTAACCTCGCGCGGTACCTCTGCTTCCTTACAGCCATGGAGCCCATCGCCCAGGACAAGCGTGTCTCCCAGGGTCATCATGGAGACCTGTACTTCTCTAATGTGGTGCTGCAAGACATGCAGACGGACTACAGCTGCAACGCCCGCTTCCACTTCACCCACACCATCCAGCAGAAAAACCCCTTCACCCTCAAGGTCCTCACCAGTAAGTACAGGCCTCTGTCCGGGGCTGAGGGCCAGGGGCTGGGGAGGCAGCCTACGGAGCCCAAACAGCCCCGGGTCCCTGGGTCTGGGGTGAGACTTGTCCCTGAGGTTGATCTAGAAATCCTTCCAGCTCATTGTGCTCAACCACTACAGCTCCATTTAAACACCTCCTGATTCTGAAGCTTGAGTTACTTGGCCTTACTTGGTCAAGTGGAGTTAAACTTGAGTCAGTGATTCTCAGACTCTGGGGAACTTAGCAAACACACCAAGGCCCAGCCCTATCCTGCATCCACTGTCCCAGGCCTCCGTGTGCCTTAGCTTTCCGGGGGATTCAGACACAAATCGGGTTTGAGAACCTGCTTTCAGTGGTCATCTGGCACCCCACTCATGCACTCAGCTGGACGATTTCTTTCCTTCCTAGTCATTATTTCTAGAAGAAAGGCATAGCATGGAATATCCAAATTACTGGGTACACCAGAATTCAGTTTATTTGATTCTGTAATATGCATATGCTGAACCCTATGGAGCCACTAGTTTTGTAAGCTGCAGGGTTCTGTTTTGGTTTGTAATCTGCTGATTCTGTTGGGCTGGTAGAAAGGCTGGTCAGCATTTCTTGACCCATTATGTTGCTGGTGGCCCTCCACAGAGGAGAGAGAAGCTAGTCAGTCCAGAGACACACTTCTTGCTTCAGAGTCCTCAACCTTCTCGGGATATTGCAAGTTATCTGTGTTGTTTTATACCCTGAATTTGTGACATGTTTTCCATAGAACAGCCCCAAAGAGATTTTAATCTGTATGGCTCACGCTCTGAGTGCTGTGTCAGTACTGTGGACAGTGGGGGCTGTGGGAGAGGCCGGGCAGAGAACACCACGTGGGCGACCTTTCGCGGGTCAGAGCAGAGGCTGACTCCTGGCTTCCTGGGCCCAGGCAGAGCTGCCTGACGATGCCTCCTGGGTAGGGTGGGTAAGGGAGAGGCTTGGGTGCATCCCTCCTCTTTCAGGACAGGTGGGAGTCCTGACCCCTTAGTGTTCTCTCTTTCCTCATCAATCCCCACTGACCTGTAAACAGCTAGTGCTGAGAGTCAACACCCCCAAATCCGGTTGTCCGCCATGACATGGGGATGGAGCCATAGAAAGCTTGAAAGCTCCCAGCTTTTCCTCCTCCTCTTTTCCGTTCTCTCCTCATTTTCTTCCCTCTCCCCCGGTCCCTTCCTCTGTTTTCTCCTCCCATCTTCCTACTTTCTTCTTTTCTCCTCCCTTTATTCCTCTCTCTTTCTTTGAACCCCATTTCTTCCTCTTCCGGTTCCCTCCCAGAAGTCCCCTGCAGCCTCCCCACACGCTGTTCTGAGTGGTGTTGAGCTGCCCATAAGCTAACAGCCATCAGGACGGCCAGAGCCCAGGAACAAGCCCCGCGTGCTTCTGCCAGGGACCCCAGCTTCAGCTTGCTCCCCTCTCCCTGGTTTTTGTAGTCCTCATCCAGGACTAGGGAGACCCCTGGAGAAGAGCACTGGGCTGTCTGAAGTAGATATTCATTAGATGTCGGGGGAGCCACCTGCCAGCTGGCAGGGCTGGGGAGGACAGTGTGATCTGCCCAGGACTGCAGAGTGGCCTCAGTAGCCAGGACACTGCTGGCAGCGTTGGGCGATGGGAGGGGCAGGAATGTCAAGAACAGGATGCTCCCTCAGCTGATCCTGGGCAGCCCCTAGCGTCAACGCCTGGACTGCTTTCTCCTTCCCCAGACCGTGCTGAAATCAGTCCGCTGCTTCCGGAGCTGAGTCAGGTGGACCCTCTGTGGTCCTGTGCATTCACCCAAGGCCAACACTGTCACACAGGACGAAGTGGAGGCGGGAGGTGGAGTCACCGTGCACACGGGGCGGAGTGGAGGCAGGGAGGTGGAGTCACCGTGCACACGGGGCGTAGTGGAGGCAGGGAGGTGGAGTCACCGGGCACACGGGGCGGAGTGGAGGCAGGGAGGTGGAGTCACCGGGCACACGGGGCGGAGTGGAGGCAGGGAGGTGGAGATGGTAAAGAGTCTTCGGTGGAATCAGACATCTAAACAACACTTAGAAATTGGACTTTCCAGAAACATCCCTTTCTCTACCAACAATCTAAGGGCTGTTTGTTTCTGCTTCCTCATTGGCACCCCTATTCCACAGAATACTCTGTCCTCCGAGTGACGGGAACCCCCTCAGTGATTGGGACAGAACCCTGTGGGCTTCCTGGAGTTCCCCCAGGAGCAGCTTTGGCTGAGAGCAGGCTCTGGCATCCGAGGCAACCCCAAATTGGGCACCGTTGCTCCAAATAGCACAATTGTGTTCTCATCTTTCCTGTCTGGAAGGGACACAAGCTCTTTTTTGTACCTTCAGAACCAGGTCTGGCAGTGGGAGACAGGACAGCCAAGTTGAGGCAGCTCCAAAGACCCTGTTCTAACTGGCTTGTTTCTGCCGTGGTTTCTCCATTTGGGAAGAGCTAAATCCCGTCACACCCAATTTTTGATCACCTGCATTAAAGGAAGGGCAGAAAGGCATATAAGACAAAATACTGGGCAATCTAAAGTCACTTTAAAATGTTGTTCTGTCATGCAGTCAGAGATGAACAGTGGCGTTGGGCTAACAAAGATGTACCTGTCCCATGTTGTTCCTGTCACAGCAGGTACTGGGTCCCTCCTGGTGCCTTCTGCTGCACAGGGGCAGCTGTGGTGAGAGAGAAAGTTCCTCCCGAGGCAGATGAGTGCTAACCAGGCTTCCTTCTGGTGTCAAATGTCTAATTGACATACTTAGACTAGTCAGAAAGTCCCCTTGAATTTCCTGTATGTGCTCTAGAGTACACACGCTGTGATGTTGAGTGTACATGTGGATCACTTGTCCTCAAAGAGAGGTTCCATTTCACCTGGTGGCGTGAGAGCATGACCCAGGGCCCTTTCACCTGTGCGAGAGAGGAACCTTAACCTCCCAAGAACAGCTGCAGCCCCTCGGCCACCCTCCTCTTCATTCTTTTGCAGATCACTTTCCACCTTTAGCTTCAGATATACTCAAGCTGAAGGAGGCCTGGTGGTGCATCAGTTAAGCACTCAGCTGCTAACTGAAAGGTTGGCAATTCGAACCCACCAGTGGCTCTACTAGAGAAAGACCTGGCAATCTGCTCCCGTAAAGATGACAGCCAAGAAAACTCTATGGGGCAGTTCTGCTCTGTCACAGGGGGTCACTATGAGTCGAAAATCGACTAGACAGCATCCAACAACAATGTATCCAAGCTGACTTTCCAAAGGCAGGCTATGCCTTGTACAACATAGTCCATCCTCGTTCGGAATAATGGAAACCTCTCCAGTGGGTGTCAGGCAGATCTGAGGTGCAGCACAGTGCCAGTCCCAGAAGAGAACATGCACACCCCTTGCAATTAGTTGTAACAGGATTTGATCTGTCTTCAAATATGCAGATTTCCTGGCACAGCACCTCTCCTCCCTCAGGCGGCTGAACTGTGTTCTGGGCTTCTCCAGGCTGTTGGCTTGGCTTCCAGTCAGCCATACACCCTCCACCCACTGTGGGGACTGTCAAAACTTGAACCCAGTGGCTGACAGGGAGTGGTGGTAGAAGAGTGAAAAGCTGCTTAAGGACATTGGCCTGACTGTGCTCCCTTTTCCAAATTGTCCCTCTCACTGAAGATTAAATGCCCAAAGACTTAGTTACCCAACATTGCACCAAAGCCACTGATCTTTCTCCTTTAGGCCTGTCTTCACCCCAAGCCATTCTAGAGACCTCTGCATTTCCAGCTTAATAAGCAGCCGATTCCCAACCAAGCATAGAGCCCACATCTCACATTCTGTCTCTGCTGTCCCAAGCTCCCTTTCCAATCCCCAAGCTGGACCACGCCCTGTCTCCTCATTAGGAGGCCATTCTACCACCAGAGACGTCCAGGACAGCATGGCGGTGCCCACCCGGTCAGACTTGGGGGTGGGGTTGTTGCTGGTCAGCACAGGATTGCTGGGCACTCCCGAGGCCCCTCCCCCACTTCCTTGGTTGATGAAATGTTCTCTTGGACTGCCTTCTCCTTTCATTTACCTCCTGCCCTGCCACTTCGCTTCTGCTCCAGTGGGACTTTGCTCTTCTCCCCAGAGCTCACTAACCGTCCTTTTTCTTTAGCTTCCCCAAGAGCTTGCTGATCCAGAGCCCTGGAAACTGAGGCCTTTGCTGGGAAGGAGTTGTTCCAAAGACTTTTGTGGGACACCACTAATCCTTGTCTCTTTTGTTGGAAGACTAGTAGGACCAAACAATTACAGTTTAAGCCTGATTATTTTAATTAAAGAACAACTTATTTTATTATTGCCTTCTTTTGCAGGATTTAACCTTTTCTTCCTTTTTTGGGGCTGTTTTGTGTTGCTTGTTCTTCACCAAGCAGATTTCCTTTCCAAAAATGCCCCGTCTTTCCTTTGCAAAAGACCACTGGTGCTCGCCTCCGTTGTTTTTGTGGCTTTGCATTTCTGTTTCTCGCGCCCTGTTTATGCCTCCGTGACTTCTCCGTGGCTCCTGTTTGCTCACCCTCTTTTGTTTATTGCAGACCACCCCTATAATGACTCGTCCTTAAGAAACCACCCTGACATGTACAGTGGTGAGTTGCGGCGGTAACCTTGGGAGTAACCTTGCGTGTCCTAACCTCGGTTTGCCTAACCTGACTGATATCACGGTATTAACTCCTGCTGCCTCGAAGGTCTGACAGCTGGCCAGGCCAGGGTGCCCAGCTGGCACCTCCAGGAGGCTGCCCACCAGGAGGAAGGTGGCCAGTTTGGTAGTGTGAGATTGCCTACGTCGGGGGTATAGCCTCTAGTGTGCAAACCTCTAGTTGCTGAATTCTGGACAAGTTGTTCAAACCAGGGTAGGGCTTCAAAAGAGCTTTTTGAGGCTTTAGTAGAAACTTGGAGTCCCTGGGTGGTGCAAACAATTAACACTCAGCTACTAACCAAAAGGTTGACGGTTGGAGTCCACCCCGACTCGAGGTGCCTCGGAAGA